GCTTTTCGTGCCCTGGGGGTCCAGCCGGGGCAAAAGTGGGGGGGGATCAGCATGGGGTGGGAGTGTGTCGGGATTTGCCCGGGACAAGCCGCCTCCGCGCACGGATCCTGGTCACGCATTGCTGCTTGGACGGGGGTTTTAGCGCTACCCTGAGTCTCCCCCTTATTTGTACTTTCTCAGAGCGGCATTTAAAAAAAAAAATCTCCTTATTGTTCTTACCCTTAATCTGGCCTTTTAATGATGTCAGGGGCCTCTTTCCTCATTCCTTAGCACAAGAGTCATCTCAGGGCAGTCTTATTTAAACATGCAATCCCCTCCTTTTTTCTTTGCAAGGGGGGGGAGGAACAGTAGCCATAAACTCAATCCCATCAGCACCAAATAAAACCAATTAAAGCCACCCCCCCCAAGGAAGCCGTGTCCGGGTGGAGGTGGCCAGCGGTCCAGGGCACGGCCGAGCTGGCAAGAGAGGGAGGAGCTCCGAGGAGTTCCCGGGGGGGGGGGGCCCTCCGTGTTCATGGTTCGTAATTGTAAATATCACTTTTTAATAATGTCAACCACCATTGCATACTCATAATGTCCACCTTTAAATTTAAATTTCCAAGTAAAAAGGTGAGGTTTTAAAAAAAATGTAAATAAATACGTAAATACAATCACACAAAGGTAGAGAAATTGCCAGTGAGGTCCCGATTCTCCATCTCTGCTAAAGAGACCGGCGAGGATGGCCTGGCAGGGCCTCTTTTTTTCAAAGATCAAAATCCCTTTCTTCAGACCCGCAGGGCACCCGCATGGGTCCTCTGTACCTTTATGGATACCCCATGAGACCAAGTGAGGATGCAGCGTTTCCGGGAGGGGGGGTGTCGTTTCGGCAACCTGGGGGAGCCAAGACAGGGCCGCCGACTGCTGGCCTTCAGGGTCTTGGCCCCACAAAGCGGAAGGGGTTTTCCACCAGCCCGATGGCGCGGGTGGAGCCCTCTCGTCGAGAGACGGCACCGCCTTACCTGGGGCCCCAGGTGAGGCTGTCCAGCACGGACAGAGCATCCAGGAAGCGGCTCTCCCGTCAGGGACTGTGGACCATTGAAGAGAGCAGAAAGGAAGACAGACAGTTCCCCAGTCTTTTCATCGAGGTCCGGTGGATGCTTGATTCAGCCCTGCTCTGTCTCCCCAGTCTTGTGAATCTGGGGTTTGTGTATGTGCATATTTTCAGAGCGCTTGAACGCCCTTCGTGGGATGGGTATCTTCACCAAGAGGAGCCGAGGGGGGAAGGGAGAAGGGTTGGAGGAGGATGAGCTTTCCTCCGAGTTGAGCAGCTCCTATGGGTGCCGGTGGGTGGCTGTGCCGCGGCCCCTTGTGGAAAGGTCAAAGGTCAGAGCTGCTGTGCTTTCATGCCTGGGGCTCGTTCTAGCTGCCCCTGGCTTGCTCTCCATCAAGGCCTTCCTCAAAGGATGTGGAAAGCTGCCTTCTCCAGCCCCCCCCCCCAGGCCTGCTCTGCCGTGCGCTTTCCGGACAACGCGGAACGTCAGCGGCTCTCCGGGTCTCTTCTGCCCTCTCTGGAAATGCCAGGGTTTGGAACCGGTTGCGTTACCTCTCTCTTCACGTCTTAATCTCATGTTGTCACGGCTGGGCTGCAGGGAGAAACGTGCACGGAGGGAACGTGCCGGCAAGGTAGCAGAGAGCCGCACAGGGTGTGTAGCCAAGATTTAGGACTTAAGGGAGATTACAAGCTCGTGTGCATAAAACACTTTTGCTCTGCAGAGGTAGCCTTCCATCCATCCATTTCTGCCTCACAAGACCCAGCAGACGTGCCCTTCTTTTATGCCCGGGTCCGGCTTCGTCTGGGGGTCTTGGCCATCATGACAGAGCCTAGAGCGACCCCGACGGGGGTTTCTAGAAGGCTCTGTTAAAAGGTGGGTCGCCTGGCTGCAGAGCCAGAGGTTGTGAGTTCGATTCCCCCCACTGTTCCTTCTGCAAGGAAAGCCAGCCTGTGTAGCCTGGGGTAAGCTGCACCATCCAAGAACTGTCCCCGGAAGAAGGGAAGGAGGAAATCTCTTTTGAGTCTCCCCTTCCTGGAAACCCTTGGAAAAAAGGGGTTGCATGAGTCAGAATCGAGTGGACGGCACGTGGTGATTATTAGGCTGGCTGGATCGCTCAGTGGTTTAAGGATCTGACTGTGGGGCCAGCGGTTGGGAGTTCTATCCCCGCATTGCTCCTCCAGGGAGAAGAGCCAGCCTGGGTGGCCTTGGGGCAGCTGCAGAGGGGACCCAGGGGGCCCCCCAGAAGAAGGGAATGAGAAACCACTTCTTAGTATTTTCTCTACCTGGAAAACCCTGGAAAGGTTTGCTGTACATCGGAATTGACCTAACAGCACATTCATATTATTATCATTGTTCTGTTGACGCAAATCACCTTAAGGCTTTAACGAATCCCTTTTTCGTGTGAGTTTCTGCAAACAGCGCTTCGAACGTTGTCAGTCCGGTTTGTCTCCTTTCCAGCGTCTCCTTGGCTTCAGGTGAGAGAGCTCTCCCAAGAGAAGGGGTGGGGAGCCCGATGCCGGGGGGGGGTCCAGGTGGAGGAGAAAGGATCACCAAAGTCTGGGCATTTCTGTGGTACCTCTTGAGCTCATGGGGTGGTGGAGACAAGTCAGGATGAAACTCGTGGAGACTGCTCTGGGTCACCTGCTCCACGCAGAGGGAAATGCAGGCAGGCCCTCGCTTTCCCGGCCTTCAGACGATGCCACAGGGCTGTTCGTGAGCCACACAGAAGTGCCAGGAGGTTGATCTTTGCTCAGATCTTTGCTCTTGACTCTGCGTTCGGTTATCCTTTCCAAAGGCCTCTTTGTTTTAGCTACAAGTAAAAGATTACATCTGCAGGGGATTCCCATCAATGACATTATCACTTCTGCTGATTCAATCTGCTTCCCTCTGCTTGGTCTCTAATTGGATTAGGGAGCGATGCCAGCCAGAGTTAGTAGCTGCTCCCTGGTGAAAGTGTCACAACTGGGGCCTCTTGCAGGCGATTTCATGGGCCTCCTGGGATCCCAGGTCTTCTTCTTGTTGTTTAGTCATTTCGTGTCTGACTCTTCGTGACCCCACGGACCAGAGCCCGTCAGGCCCTCCTGTCTTCCACTGCCTCCCGGAGTTTGGTACCAAATTCATGTTGGTCGCTTCGATGACCCTGTCCACCCATCTCATCCTCTGTCATCCCCTTCTCCTCTTGGCTTCACACTTTCCTAACATCAAGGTCTTTTCCAGGGAGTCTTCTCATGAGATGGCCAAAGTACTGGAGCCTCAGGCTCAGGATCTGTCCTTCCAGGGAGCACTCAGGGTTGATTTCCTTCAGAATTGATAGGTTTGTTCTCCTTGCAGTCCAGGGGATTCTCAAGAGCCTCCTCCAGCACCACAATTCAAAAGCATCCATTCTTCGTCAGTCAGCCTTCTTTATGGTCCAGCTCTCGCTTCCACACATCACTACTGGAAAAACCATAGCTTTGATTATGCGGACCTTTGTTGGCAAGGTGATGTCTCTGCTTTTTAAGATGCTGGCAAGGTTTGTTGTCGCTTTCCTCCCAAGAAGCAGGAGTCTTTTAATTTCAGGGCTGCTGTCACCATCTGCAGTGATCACGGACCCCAGGAGAGTAAAATCTGTCACTGCCTCCATATCTTCTCCTTCTATTTGCCAGGAGATGATGGAACCATTGGCCATGATCTTAGTTTCTTTGATGTTGAGCTTCAGACAATTTTTTGGACCCTCCTCTTTCACCCTCATTAAGAGGTTCTTGAAGTCAGCATTCCCCAACCTTTTTCGGTCCGTGGACCACCTGGGGAAGGTGGTGCACCCCCTGTGCTGATGAGCAAACAAGTTTGCGCGCTCTCTTGCACAGGTGGGCACACCCGCACAAGCCCCGTGCTGCCATTTGCGCATGCCGCAGGCCCATCGAAGTGGCATTTATCCTGTGGATTTATCCGGTGCAAAAACCACTTTTTCTTTTCCCGCCCATTCCAACCATCCCTCATTTGTGCCGCCTATTTGCAAATTGATGAAGGATTTTTTTTTTAGAATTGAACAGCCTCAAAAAGAAGACTTTTGTGAAACGACAGCTGCAGCAAAGGGTTCTGTGGGATCTGTGTGCTGATTCTTCGCCCCTGGGGAGCTGAGAGTGAATGACTGGCCACCGGTCACTTTCCCTCCTTGCTTCGCTTCCTTGATGTTCCGTGTCAGACACACGGGTTTGACTCTCCCTGCACTCCAGGTTTCTCCTCCCTTCTCCCTTTCATTTATGTTTGTTGAATCATACACTTTTTGGTTTACTTATGCATTATACGGTTATATAATGTATATGTATTACATATCATATTGTTTACTGCTGCAGGCTGCCCAGAGTGACCATTGACCAGAGAGGTGGTTCAGAAGTTTAATAAACAGATCAATAAATTCCCTTTTGGGTATGAGTGTACAGCTCAGCCTGTTCTGTGTGGTTTCAGGCTCATGGTAATCAGACTGGAAAGCTTAAATTGGGAACAGAGAGAGAGAGGGAATGTGTGGTGGAAACCTTGGATGTTGAAATCTGGTCAGGAATTGTTGCTGCATTTCTTGCAGGCATGCGCATACAGTGTATGTGTGCACGCAGAGAGGATTTCCACCTCTCCTTTGTGGGAAATGCAAACAGGAGACTTCTGCTTCCCCCCCCCTTTTTTTTTCAACCCCAGCATGAAGGCCGAATGGTAGGGGAAAATATCAGTAGAAGTATATACAGTGGTGCCTCGCTTAACGAGTGCCTCGCTGAGCGATGAAATCGCTTAACGAGGCACTCTGTGCCATCGCTGGAGCATTCGCTCAGCGATGGCCCCTATGGGGTTTTTTCGCTTTGCGAAGATCGCTAAGTGATTCGCTTAGCGATCTTCGCATAACGAAGCCGGGGAGAACAGCTGATTGGCGGTTCCAAAATGGACGCCGGAAGGTCCGCGCCGCATTTTCGCGCCCTGCCCTCGCTTACCGAGGGCGCGAAAATGGCGGCGCTATGGCAGAACCTCGCTTAACGGTGATTTTTCCAGCCATAGGAATGGCTTTTTTTATTCCGTTTAGCGATGTTTCGCTATAGCGAAGGTTAATCCGGAACGGATTAACCTCGCTATGTGAGGCACCACTGTATAGCGAAAATAAATAAGCGAGGGGAAAATAAATGAATATCAGGTTGAGAATGATGGAAGGCAGAAGAAATATGTTGTTGTGCGGGTGGTTTAAAAGTGAACAAAAATAACAAACAAATAAATGAATGAATGAATGCAATTAGAAAAGCAAAGTGTGCTCCTTTAGTTTATACCACCCCATAATGCTTAAAGTGTTCTCTAGGTGAGAAGGCATTATGCGTTTCATGTGCCATTGTTGTGCACGTTCTCAAACCCAGTCACTTGCACGTCCGTTGTTAAGCACCAGCAAGTAGCGCCTCCGATGTCGTTGGTAAAAATAAGTCTTGTGACTGTTGACAAAATGGTGTTCTGAGTCACCGTTTGGCCGTGAAACTTGCTGCGGGACCTTGGATGAGTCATTGTGTGTTTTTTTAAATGCCTGGCGTGCCTTGCAGGGGTTATCGAAATGAGGAACTATTCAAAGCATGTTGCCTGTTAGGAAGTGCCTTTGAGCTTGGTGACACTTCACACCTGAAGCCGGAGAAAGTTCTCTTTTCTGACTGTGGATCCTAGGAGTCAGGATTCTGAGAGCTGTAGTCCCAAAAAAGGTCACTTTTCTAAGTTCTGCTCAAGACAGATCTTCCAGGCTGAAAGCGGTGGGAAGCGTGTAGGGGCTCCGGTTTCAGGAGTGCTGTGAATCCATGCCAGGTTTTAGCCTGCAGTCCTGCATAGGAGCCCTGCAACTGTATTTACAGGAGCCACCCAAGATGCTGAAATATGAAATGCCACATAGGAGTTTAGCCACTTGAGTCACTCCTGGAAAGGACGGACGAAAACCTGGAGCGGATCCGTGGCAGCCCTGCGCTTAGTGTCACCAGTGGCCACACTCGTGGCTCAGATGGGTGGAAGTTTTCCATGTGGTTTTCAGGCCCAGAGCAACTAGTGTGCTCTTATCATCACTGAATCATCCTGTTGGCACGAATCACACACATTGGAGCACGTGAGGTCCCAACCCTTCTAAAAGTGTTATTCCTCCTGAGATGGTTTAACCTGTGTAATTTCTGAGTTGGTGCGCCACGAATGCCTGCAGGTCTTGTCTGGGAAGTCCCGGAATCTTTACAGTTTGCAGTGAAGGGTTGGGTGGGTTTGCAAGTGTGTAAGGAGAGACTTGCATTCACTAGCATTTTCAAGCCGTTGCACTTAACGCTGGCGTTACTCCTTGTTCGAAACTTTAAATATCGTCTTTCAGTGTCATAAGACGCCTTGGGCCCTTTTCAAGAAGCAAGGCGGGGCAAACTATTCTGAATAAATAAAAAAAAATGATAGCTCAAATGGGAGGCGCATCGTCATCACCATTATCATCTGTTTTCTTTCTTTCCTTGTAGATCACAGACTCTTGGAAAAATCCAGCGTGGTGGACCATTTCACAGCAAAGTTGGAAGCTCAATCGGTAGATCACCCACTGGGATCTCCTCTTTTCAGGTACAGAAAACTTGAGATTTCCTCCTGAGGAGGTGAGTCGAAGCCAGTGGCGACCAAGAGAGTCATTTTGTCCACAGTGACTGTCCCGTAAATAGCCCTTGTGAGCCAAAATTAATGGAAATCAGGTGAGGTGCTCTGGTCCCTGAGCGTGTCGAAACAGCAGACGTTGGGGTAAAGTTACTCCCTGAGCTTTCTTTCATGACTGTGGCACCAGCCGATCTCCCCCCCCCCAACAATGCCTTCCTTCCAAGTGGAAACAAATGGAAGGGGAGACAGCCGTCAAAAACAAAGGAGAGCATTGCGGGGGTCCTTCTGTTTGAGAGTCAACTCAGCGCCAAACTAGACACCTCAGTGAAGCTAACCTTGGCTTTTTCCAGGTGTACCTTCCAAATCTATTCGCTATATATTAGCAACACATTTGAACAACCCTTAATGCTTCTTCTGCTTGATACCGTCATACATTCCTTTGATGTTACCTGTGTCAGCTGCTCTCTGTACATGAGAGAAGAGCTGAAGCCAATAATCGGTGGAACATCTGACAATCTGTTGGACTTTGCTACAATGCATTTTTGGTATCACCTGGCAGGACAAAGTTCCAAATAGAGTACTTCCAAATAGATCGAGCTGGAATGTTTAGCATGTATACATTACTGAAACAGTGACGTCTACGTTGGCTTGGGCATGTCGTGAGAATGGCTGATGGTCGGATTCCAAAGGATCTCCTGTATGGAGAATTATCGCAGGGACATCGTCCCAGAGGGAGACCACGGCTGGGATACAAGGAGGTCTGCAAGCAGGATCCAAAGGATTTAAGAATGGACCTCAACAGATGCGAAACCCTGACCTCTGAGCATTCAGCCTGGAGGCAGGCAGTGCATCACGGACTCTCCCAATTTGAAGAGACCCTTGTCCAGCAGGCCGAGGCAAAGAGGAAGTCACAAAACCAACAAAATCAGGGAGCTGGATAGATTGCCTTTGTCTTCAGTGTGGAAGGGATGGTCACTCTCGAATTGGCCTTCTCAGCCACACTAGATGCTGTTCCAAGTCCTCTGTTCAGAGCACGTTATCATAGTCTCTCAAGACTGAAGGATGCCTGATCTGAATCTGAATTCTTTGCTTCTTCTATCCAGCTGTTGAAAAAAAAATTTTTTTTAATGCAATGAAGAAAGAGGAAGAAGAATAAGGTTTATAACAGAATGTGGAGGAAACACTTCTAAGGATCATAGTGTGATTTCTGCTCTGATGTCCTGCTTATCATCCTCAGGTCGGGCGACACCGCCTTCTGCTAGCCAGAAGAGATTTTTCGCCCGACTGCTCCGGGGGTGCGCCCTGTATTCTGCCCCACCCTTCATCCAGGTTCACGTGGGGGACTCTCCCAGATTAAACAGGGCCTCGGCACAAAAGGGACCCCTGTGGTTTTTAATTTGCACCTTTGCTATAGAGGCTGTCGCTGCCTACTGCTGTGTCTGTGCAGATTAAGCCACAGCGTGGAAGGGAAGGTGGATGCGATGACCCAAATATAATTTGAAGAGCAGAAATAAAAGGGAAAGAAAAGGCAAGTGGCTCAGTGCACCCCCAGGAATAAGACTAGTCATCTAGATCCCCCAGATCTGGGGTAGAGGATGCTCAGAAGTGGTTTCCCCTTCGCTTCTTTTGGGGGCAGTTCTGGGATGGTGTGCAACGTGCCCAAGGCTACCCAGGCTGGCTCTTCTCCCAGGAGGCCCCCGCGGGGATCTGAATTCTGGCTCCACGGCCAGAGACCAAACCACTGAGCTCTCCAGCGGTTCAGCGACCCCGCATAAAGATGATCTGGGGAACGGGAGTTCTGTGAAAGGCCGGATCGAAAGCGCAGGCTGGTCGAGGCTGGAGAAAACAAGACCTAGAACAAAACGCACGACTTGTCCTTCTCGGCTCCAGCTGAAGCTGAGGCTCCCTTAACAAAGAACAAGCTTCTGCCTCCATGTCAAGGCCAAAGAAGGACCAAACTAGGTCCTCAGTGTAACTGTGACAAAATAGATGAAACACCCAGATGTTTTTCCTGGCTGCAAAGCGGTGCCTGCACCAGCAGCTTCCAGAGACAGGCCCGGAGGTGGCATAAAATCAGCTTAGACCACGGTGTGCATGTGACATTATTTGCTGCCCACATCCATTTTTTTTGTTTGTTTATCTATTTATTTATTTTCGTGGAGTGTGGATTGTCACTAACTATCCTGGATGAAAAGATTCTGGGAACCATCGTTTAAAAAAAGGAACTTTTCTAAGCCCTGGTTTTGTGGCAACAGCACCATCTTCTCTTCCCCTCCAGAAATAAGCAGGAAAATGATTTGCATGGAACTAGCAAAGATAAGAGCCTCAACCCAGCTGGCTAGAGGGCTGTTCAGTGCCTGGAATTCATTTATCTTTATTGATTTCAGATTTCTTTTCTCCCGCCTTTCTCCTTAAAGGAGTTTTAAAAGGAGAAGAACCGTATAGAGGCTCAGTTGCTTTTGACCGGCATGGTGTGGAGCAACCTTTCCCGCCTCTGTTTAGGTGCATCGCATGATGGGTTTTGTTAGTGCCTGTCGTGGAAGGGGGGGTTTGCTCGTGTGTAATTGTATTGTTTGATTCGGCCAGCAGAAGAAAAGTTCCAAAGCTGCAGCCCACTTCGGTGGCCGGCCTGTCCGGCAAATGCTTCTCTTTTCCAAAAGATTTTTGGGGAGGCACGAATGCCGGGGGGTGTCCCTTAAAATCTGGGAAAATTGAATCCCCCCCCACCTACGCATAAGCCCCAGGGTATAGGGGAACTCTTCAGTGAATGGTTACTAAAAAAAATGAATAGTCGGAGGAGCTAGGGTTCAATAGGGCTGGAGGTCCCTTTAGGCCCCTGATGGGGGGGGGACACACATTCCTTTTATGTGGAGACTCAGCTGAAGTCAGAAGCTGGGGTCAAGAACAGCTGGAAAAATGGAGCCCATTGCACAGGCTCATCTCCCCAGGAGTCTAAATATCATAGGATGTGTAGTTGCACAGAATGATGGGTTTTCTCTTTATTTCACTGCTTCAGGAACACCTCATTTCCCAGCGAGTGAAGCAGTATTCTGTGTTTTGCATAGGCTTTTTGGCAAGCTCTAGCAAGCTTCCCTGCCCCATGTATCTACCTTTGTTTTTTAACAAAAGACCCCCTTTTTTTAGAGTGGCAAAGAGGATGATGTTCTAAGGAGGGAAGGACCGGTGCTTGTGTGCTTTGAGGCGGGCAGGGCCGGCTGGGCAGGGAGCCACCTCGCTCTCCGGGAAAGAGGCGTTTTGGAGATGACCCACAGCATGGAAAGTCCCGAAGATTTCTCTCTCTCTCTCTCTCTCTCAATTTTGGAGATGACCCACAGCGTGGAAAGTCCCAAAGATTTCTCTCTCTCTCTCTCTCAGGGTGTGTCTGCACTGCAGGGAAAATACGTTTCAATCTGCTCTGGTCTGCATTTTTTTTTTCAAACTGGGTTCCTGCTGGTTTCTGCAGGTAAAGTCGCTGTAGCCGCCCAAACAGCAAACAAGAGCAGAAGCAGAAGCAGAAGAAAAGGTCAAAGGGCCAGCAGAAGCTGCCTTTGGTCCCTCTGGACCATTTCCACCGGGAGGCCCTTTACCTCTCCTTCATCTGAGATACCTTTGGCTGATGAGTGAGGGCTAACTTGAACTTCTTTTTTTTAAAAAAATAAACTGTTTAAAAAGGACCTGAGACTCCCTTTTGCACCAGATGAGCAGGCTATACAGGGCAAAAAGCAGAGAAAAGCCATCTTCAGCCAACCAGAACAATATATTCTGCCCGTTTAAGCCGGAAACCACTCTGGTTAATTTACAACATAATGAAAGACAATAAAAGAACCCTACAAATATAAAGTAATAAAATATCACAGCAATTAAACTGAAGAAGACTGGGGGTGGGGAGAAGAGATAATGTTGTTTGTTGGTTAGTTGTTAAGTTGTGTGTCCGGCTCTTTGTGATCCCACGGACCAGAGCATGCCAGGCCCTCCTGTCTTCCACTGCTTCCCGGAGTTGGGTCAAAGAAGATATAATAGCATTTTCCAAGTGCAGGCAGGGTCTGTCCTCGGTCATCCCAGAATGGAGGACACGCAGCAACGGGCTCAAGTTAAGTGAGTCAATTTCACATCAAGAAAAACTTCTTAACTGTCAGAGCAGTACGACAAGGGAACCTGTGACCACAGGGGGAAGCGACGAGCACTCCATCGCTGGAAGTCTTCAAGAAAAAATGGGAACCCCCCCCCCTGTCCGATTTGGTTTGATTCAGATTCCTGCCTTGAGCAGGGGGGTTGGATTAGATGGAGATGGCCTCGCATTCCCCTTCCAACTTTATGATGCTAGGATTTGAAAGATTTTTTTAAAAAAAAGACTGTTCCCCATTCAAAAGGAGATGTAATTCCACTGTGGGATGCCTTGCCCTGAGCGTTAGGTCATGTCTATCAGAGAAAACCAAAAGAAAATTGCTAGGATTTGAAAGATTTTTTTAAAAAAAAGACTGTTCCCCATTCAAAAGGAGATGTAATTCCACTGTGGGATGCCTTGCCCTGAGCGTTAGGTCATGTCTATCAGAGAAAACCAAAAGAAAATTTAAAGAAAGAAAGAAAGAAAGAAAGAAAGAAAGAAAGAAAGAAAGAAAGAAAGAAAGAAAGAAAGAAAGAAAGAAAGAAAGAAAGAAAGAAAGAAAGAAAG